ATCATCATCATCATCATCATCATCATCATCATCATCATCATCATCATCATCGGAGATGTCGTCATAACCTGTAAACAGACTCTTCGAGTTGTCAAACTTTACTGTATCTTCTAAAACTTCTCCCTCTTCAGGTTCTATGAATACGTTTGTCTTGTTTGTGTTACCTTTTTGAGCTGACGGCTCACCTGAAGATACAGATTTCTTATTGTTGTTTCTGTCTATACCTTTATCCCCAGAGATTGGTTTTGTTATTGGCTTTTGCTTTTTGGTTGTCCTATCATCAATATCACTCTCCACTTCTGCTTCAGTGTCCTCAGATTCATCTTTATCACTGCAATGGACCTTCTTAAAGTGCCTGTTCAGATTTGTTCTCTTGTTTGTGTTATAAGAGCATAACTCACAGAAGAGCCTCGAATGTGTGCACTCAATTAAATGGCGGTTTCTATCTTCCTTATTTCCAAATTCAAGAGAACAGAATGGACAATAAAATGACAACCTTCCTCGGTGTTTTCTTGGTATTTGGCATGATGTCCTTCTGAAAATATAGAAATAAGAACATAATATTAATTTTCAGAATAAACTATATAAACAACGCCAATTATATATACAATTTTATGTACATCATGAAAAACAAACTTTTATATACACGTAAAATACACCTGAACGCCTATTCAACACAGTAATCTTTCATCCATACAGGTTTACAACGCCTTGACTCTGTATGTAACTTCTGTACACCGATCTATTATCTTAAATGGACCTCTTCAAAATGAAGTAAACTTTGGTGATCGTCCATTTTTCTCACAGAAAAATAAACATATACTTCGTCATCCTTTTCAAATGTTTGCCACGACAGCTTTAAGTCGTGATATCTCTTTTGTCGACGCATTGCTGTCTCGGTATTTTTTCGGACTATTGAATGTGCACTTTCCATCTTTTCTTTCATTTTCCAAGCCCACTTATTGGTTGGTACTTCTTTTTGTGCCTGCGGCTTCTCGTACATAATATCAAGTGAGGTTGATACTTTTCTATCAAACATCAAGTAGTTCGGCGTATAACCTGTTGTCTCATGTTTGGCACTACGATATGCCATCATGACATAAGGTAGATATTCGTCCCAGTCATCATGATTGTCATTTACATATGCACTCAGCATTTTCGCAAGTGTTCATTGAATTTCTCCACCATCCTGTCGGATTAGGGGTGATATGGCGTTGTTCTTGCTTTCTTTATGTTTAAAGCTCTGCACATTTCATAGAACAAGTTGCTTTCGTACTGTCGTCCCTGATCGGAATGAATGTGTGCTGGTATTCTAAACCTTGTTATTACTTCTCCTACTTTCAGTTTTACGACCGTTTCAGCCTCCATATTTGGCATCGGAAAACTATCTGTCCATTTTGAGAAATAGTCTGACGCAACGAGGATATATTTGTTTCCATTACTTGTTTCGGGTAATTCTCCAAGTATGTCTGTCGCTATTCTCTCTATTGGAAAACTGCTTTGTACTTTTCCAATCGGTGCTCTTTTTGTTGGAATGGGCCGTTTCTTTCTAGAGCAAAAATCACACCCCCTGATGTACAATCTAACAGCTGATTGCAATCCCGGCCAGCAACAGCTATATCGTATTTTTCCTAATGTTTTCCTTGAGCCTAAATGTCCTGATGTTTTATCATCATGACATCGCTGAAGAACCTTTCTTCGTTCTGTAAACGTTAGACCACTTGTCGTCGATTTTTCTCGTTTTCACTCTCATAATTTCGGTACAGAATCTCGTCTGTTATTTGCATATTCTCCCACTGAGACTACACGCTTCGAACAACAAAACCCTTACCTGATACTTCACTAAACATGGGACGTTTAAAATAGATTCCGTAAACAATTCTTTATGTAAAGGAGATCTTTGTCATTGTTTTGTAATTTTTTGAGATGTGATTTATCATCCTTATAATCGTCTGAGTTGTCCGTTAAAACGCAAACACTGACTTCCTTTTCCTCCTGTTTTTCGTCCCAGTTGGGGAAATAACCACACTGTTTGCAAGGTACTCGACTTAGTGCATCGGCATTTTGATGTTGCACACCTGGAAGTATGTACTTCATTGTACTATTTGTATGTCAAACTCACTAAGAACTTCTAACCAGCGAGCTAATTGACCCTCTGGATTTTTAAACTGCAATGAGCCATAGTCTGTCCTAACTACGAATCGCCTACCGTTAAGATAGTGTTTATAGTGTTTTACAAAGTTAACAACCGCTAGGAATTCTCTTCTCGTTACACAGTAACGCCCTTCAGCCTTGCTTAATGCTCGTCTAGCATAACCTATCACAACTTCAGACCCTTGTTCATTAAGTTGTGATAGAACGGACTCATTACTTGCGTCTCTATCTAACATGAAATCCTTTGTGACTTCCGGATGTGCCAGAATCGGGGCTTTTACCAGATGGTTTTTCAAAATTTCAAACGATTCCTTGCACTTAACACTCCATATATAAGCTTTTCTCTTTTCTGTAGGAACATGTAAGCACCTGGCTATACTTGCAAAGTTTTTGATATACCGCCTGTAATAACTGCATAGTCCCAAAAACGAACGTATTTCAGTCACATTGTTTGGGGTTGGCCAGTTTTTCACGACTTCAATTTTTGAGGGATCCGTGGCAATCCCCTTTTCTTAGATGACATGTCCCAAAAATAATACCTCTTTTGCACACAAAGAACATGTCTTTGCTTTAAGCTTAAGACCAGCCGAACCTAGCCTTTCAAATACTCGATCGAGATTAATGAGCATGTCACTAAATGTTTTTCCAGCTACGATAACATCGTCTAAGTAAACTAAACAGATGTCCCATTGCAACCCAGCAAGAACCGTTTCCATCAATCTTTCAAATGTTCTGGGTGCACAGCATAGACCAAACGGCATAACTCTGAATTGAAACAAGCCTCGTCTTGTAGCGAAAGCTGTTTTGTATCTATTATCAGGATGCATTTCCATTTGCCAGCAACCTGAACATAAGTCCAAGGTTAAGAACCAGGCACTGCCAGCAAGTTAATCCAGGGAATCGTCTATACGAAGGAGAGGATAGCATCTTTTACCGTCAAGTTGTTCAATTTCCGGTAATCAACACAGAAGCGATAAGATCCGTCCTTTTTCTTCACGTAAACAACACCTGATGCCCAAGGACTACTAGATGGTTCGATGACTCCTTTTTCTAGCATATCGTCAATGTTCTTATCCACTTCTTGTCGTAAATGTACTGCAGCGTGCCAAGGAGGTTCTTTGACTGGTTGCACATTCCCAGTATTAATTCTATGTTTCACAAGATTAGTGTGGCCTAAATCCTTATCAGATTCGGCAAATAAACCTTCATATCTGCTTATAAGTACTTTTAACTGATCACTTTGTTGTTCATCTAAATTTTCACAAGCCTTCTCATAAAAAGCTTTCAGATCCAAGCGAAGTTCCAATGATTGCTTGCTATTCAAATCTGTATGTGTGTCCTCACAAACAGAGTCAATCGTATGTACTTGTCCAATTGTTGAACCCTGTTTGTTCTATCCAAATATACCAATTCTATTTATCAGATGTGGCAAACAATAAAATATACAAACACGGTTACGATGCTTTTTACGAAAAAAAGTACCCGTTTTTCACATCCAAGTATTCGAGTACAACGGTCTGCTCTTGTCTAGTGAACTTTCTAGTATCATATAAATATTGCCTTTTCGTGAACATATTAATTGTAAAATTGTGTCTGTTCATGTTTAAAAAGTAGAGATTAATATTTATACAAAGAAGGTTATCCGTTACAAGATTTGTACTCTGTTTTTTTTTTTGTTTTTTTTTTTATATATATATTTTTAAGAAAATGTCGTCTCGATTGATGTACATTTTTGTATTTGCGGTCTTTTCGATCTATTCACACCCAATGTTTACATCGGGATAAGGTCTGTTTGAATATGATAAGTAACTTAATTCCAAAACGTGTTAATTTTTGTTGCTGCCAATCGATTTATTCCTTTGGAATTTTACCCCTGAACTTCTCTGATCTAATTGCATACTTGTAGGGATAATTTGCATTGTCAGAGAGGTATACACTAGTGGAAAAATAAGTTGCAGCTGGTACTCCAGGAATTTATTCGTAAATATAGCAACATTTCATTTTTTTTTTTTATGCAAAGCTCCTATAGCCAGCTGGGCTCGTCGTTTGCTATTTTAGGATGGAAGTGATTCATTATATGGAAATATTGTTTTTATTTCAATTTATATTTATTGCTACTATTTTCTAGAACTATTACTTGTAATTTTAATGAAATTAATAGTGTCCTTGCTAAAACGGGAAAAAACATTGAGAAGATCAAGTTTTACATGGGAGGTAATAGTTTGACACTAGATTTCCCATTGCGTTAGTAGTTTCTTGAGTTCAATAATTAAAATGCTATATCTTATAAAAAGAGTGATTGAGTTGGTCAAAAAAAGCAAACACAATGTTTGTCAACATCAAGGAAACAAAATAATGAGAATCTGATCAACTCCTGTTTAAGTCATTCTCTAACTGCTCTCAAAACAAAGTGTTTCTCTTTTTTTTTGTTCCCCCGATATGATGTTTTTGTTAGTTTTGAGCTAATTTGCTTTTCTGTTTTGTATTAAACTGGATTCAACATTTCGAACAATGTCAAAGTAATTAATATATAATTATAGCTGGAAGCTTTTGACGTTTGAAGCACTTATGTGAGAGATGTCTTTTAATGAGCACTTGCATATCTGAGTTTAAATTCGGATACTAGTATCAGAAGATAAAGGACTAGTTACTAGTTATACACATGACTGGTAAGGAGGAAGTATAAAAGACAATGAATATAAATAGCACATAATGTGTAAGAAATTAGGACCTAAAGTTCAAAAGAATTATTCACACTTAAATGTTGCGTAACAATATTCAATTAGTTAAGGTTATGATTTTATCATATAAAATGCATTTTAATAGTTACTCTTTTTATATTGTAGGGTATCAGAGAACATGTCAAGGTCTAGCGATTGGCGCTTCACTCTTAACATTAATCGGCATCATAATACTAATAGTAAAGCAGTGTAAAGGATCCGAACCTGGGTGGAAAAGGGCCTATCCTGTTTCGCGTGTTTTATTTTTTGTTGGAGGTAAAAAAAACAATTTATGTTTTATTTTTTTTGCAATAATTTCATTGTTATGAATATGCATGAAATGTTTGTCACTCGACATTAAGTAACTAATATTTGATCAATGAATCTCAATACATATGATATATAGATTCGTATTCATTGATCATTTACCTGAGCAGAAAGTTGATGAACCAGGTCTAGGGTTTTTGTCAAATAACGTCTCGTTCTTTTTCTAAAAAAGTTCATCGGAAGATACCAAGACCTTGTTGATAACTATTCCGTATCAACTTCACAAATAATACATGATGGTCTTGAAGTATAGATTCTACGTACTGATGTTGTTTATCATCTTAATTACGTGTTAAAGTGTTCTTTTATTTATCTTTAAAAAAAGTCTGTAAATTATTTACCTTAACTGTTTAGTCCATTTTTGGTCATATCCTTTTGGCGTGGCTCGGTACTTATGCATCCCGCCAATGTGTTGTTGTGCTGTGGTAATTTTTTGTATTCTTGTCTTTCATTTTTTCTTATGTGCTTTTTCTATATTCCATTTTGTTTTTCTTTGTTTGTTTTTATAGTGATTAAGATTAAAACACAATGTTGACTGCTGTATCCCTATTTTTGACATTTTTATCTACTATGTCTGTTTGTTTTGTTCACTTATTGTTGTCAATATAATGGAATTTTATGCGACTGTCATACAAGTGAGAGATTAAGCTAACTTTAAAACCAGGTTTAATACATAATTTTCTCCAAAGGAAATGCCTGTACCAAGTCAGGAATATGACCGTTGTTTTCCATTCGTTAGATGTGTTTGACCTTCTGATTTTGCCATTTGATAAGGGACTTTCCGATTTGAATTTTCCTTATACTTCGGTATTTTTTGTTATTTTACTTTTTACCTAGCTATAATATACATGCAGTGTTACATAGTATGCGGTTCCATATTGTGTTCTTTCCCTTTAAATAATAGATATAGGATACAAAGTAATTGTCCTCTTTCGAAAGCGACTCTTTTTTTAGACTTGCCTTGTTTTGCAGATATTGTTATTTTCGCGATATTGAACTGTGTATATGTTTTGCAGCATCTCGTGGTTTTGTCCCTTACCTTTGTATCTTAGATTAATTTATGAGCAATCATCTGTTTCATATTCTGAAGAAAAGAAATCGTCTTCAACTATAACTTATTTATATACAATCAGCAACAAAGGAACTCACAACTTGAATATCGTGTTGTTTTTAGTTTGAAGAATAAAGATTGTGAGAAGAACAAGTTACAACTGCCCCAGGTTGGGGAAGGTGGGGTGTCCGCTAACATATTCAACCCCGAAACATTCTGCATGTGCATGTCACAGGTCAGGAGTCTGTAATTCGATTGTTGTTGTTTGTTGCTGTATATCATATTTGTTTTTCGGGTTTCGGCTCTTTGAAATAACTATATTTCATATTTAGCAATTAATTGAAAAGTTTTAATTGTCTCGTACCTATGGTTCTTAATTACCTATACCGTTTTAAAAAATGCTGAGTAGGCCTTTGTCCATTACTGGAGGACATACGGTGACCAAAAGTCTTTCTCGTCCCTTTGTATTAAACCAAATGTTCCTTTATATTCTAAACCTGTTGTACAATTTCAGGTGAGTAATGTTTTACAAGACTTTATAAAAATAAGGACATGTGGTATGATTGCCAATTAGACAACTATCCACCACAGTTAAAATGAAGTGAATGTAAACAATTATAGGCAAGCGTACGGCCTTCAACAATGAGAAAAATTCCATGCTGTACAGTCGGCTATAAAAGGCCCCGACATGAAAAATATGTGACAATTCAACTGAGAAAACTAATTTATAACAAAACAATTTACGAATAACAAATATCATAACAGACATGAACCAACGACAACTACTGAACTACAGGCTCCTGACTTGGGACAGGCACATACTTTGTCAGCTTAAACAACTTATTTAATCATTGTCTTTATTTGACCAATTTCTGATATTTATCATGCAAAACATTGTTTCTGAAAGTCCTTTTGTAACACTTAAATACTAAATGAAGAAGTCTTTAAATTTGAGATTTGATTTAAGTTTGGTTTAAACATTTAAAAAATGATTACCATTTACCTGTTACAGGAGCAGCAGTCTTCCCGGTAGACTGATTTCGTCATTTTGTTTCTTTTAAAAGATATAAGTTTTCTCATGGTAAAAATAAAAACCTTCTCTGCACATTACAGAATCGTTTATAAAAAATTGTTGCCAATGGAGAGTCTGTTTGTTGAGGCAGATGTAATTATACAGTGTCATCCAGTCTGGTTTGGAACATTTATGAGAGTATACGCCTAAAAAATATCCTTACAGTAATTGCTATTATACATGTAGGCATACCTTTGTCTGTATGGAATGCATGAACGTTGGGTCCTTTTCGGTTTAATTATGGGACTTAACCCAAGGGAACGTTCTGGGGATAAATGCAAGTCTCTATAAATCATACAATTCAGCAATACCTTTTCTTAAAGGTTTTAAAATTATATAATTTGTAATCGCATGTTGCAAGGATTAAACATTGATTGAATGAAATTTGTAATTCAATCTTAAACTCGATTCTTAGACCCTGATACTTCTATTCTGAATTGTATCGGCATTTACATGTGTATATGACTTAATTCTTGAAAAGAAAATCACATTAAAGATTACTTCAAGTTGTGTAGTTGTTTTGGTAAGATGCAGATATATGGAAATTTCCTCTTTCTTCTTTAAACAGTTACTAGAACACACCCGCGAAATCTCGGGCATTTAGAGCGTATAGTTGAAAGTATGTAAACTGTTGTAGGATGAATTTTGTAAAAGGTTTTATGACTGGAGGATGTCAGGAAAAGTATCAAAAGTATCTTAAACATGAACTGATGTCAATATATTTTGAATTTTTAACCAGTTCAAAATATTGGATGTAAATCTAAAGAATGTCAACGCAAAGGTCAACTATTCGGGTTAAAATTCCAATACAATGACCCAGGCCATGTGAAAATTTTCAACAAATATATGGCTTGCCTGAATTATTTCTTAAATAAAACATGATTATATACCGGTTCTAGGGGTCCCAAGATATCGTATTTTTATCGCTTCCAGGGACCAAAGAAATGTTTGATACCGGTTCATGTAGCTCAGGTACCTAAAACATTAAAATTTCAATATAACGACCCAGGCCATGTGAAAATTTTCAAAATCTATGGCCTTGCAAGTATTTATTCTTAAATAAACCATGATTATGTACCGGGCCAGGGGTCCGAAGAAATCGGATTTTTATCGCTTCCAGGGACCGAAGGAATGTTTGATACCGGTTCCTGTAGCTCAGGTACCCAAAAACATTGTATGTAATCAAGTTAGGAATTAAGGGTTGTTTGTAAATTTACCAAAATTCTGCGTAATTTTAAAACAGTCCTAGACGAAAGTCTTGTCTATGACTTAAACGTCCGTCCGATAACGGAAACAATATCCGGACGCCTTTTTTTCCGTTTTCCTCCCAAAATAACCCAAATGAAATAATCACAAGCGAGGATGACAAATGCGACTATGCATGGTACCTATAGGACACAGAGGCATGATGATTAATTAATTGTGGAAGGAAGAGAAGCGACACACAAAATGAGGTCTTCTCATTTAAAAGTATACATTAAAAGTATAGTTAGATATATGTAATTTTACCTTTTTTAGGCACGATGATTGAAGGTGTGACGACAGTGTGGGCAACATGTCAAGAAGACATAATTAAAGAAAACAAGTCGTTTGCTTATTGGGTCGAATGTGGTGCAGGTGTTCTTTTCATTGTATCTGCCATCCTGCTTGCAATACGGATGTATGCTCCTTCAGATCCTTATAGGACTCCAACAGCTCAATCATATCCAAATACGACACCAACAGCTCAAGCATATCCTTATATGACGCCACCAGCTCAAGCATATCCTTATATGTCGAATCAGCGTTTGGCAAAATATTAATTTTCTTTAAATTTAACACTTTTTCCGTTCGATATGTCCATACTTGAAAACTTTTAACTCTGTTTTAATTTGTACCAAATAACACGTTATTAAGAATAGTATGTAAACTGTACATTTTGTTTATGGTCACTTTTTTTCAATTTTAAGTTCTAGGTAAAAATATAGGTAGATAATGGGGTATTAGTCAATGAGATAAGTAACCTTATGTCACAAAAATCAACAACAAATCAGAAAAAAATACAGACGCATAATGGTTACGCTGTCCCTTCGAATTATATTTGTGTGCACGTTCCTTGTATGTTACTAATGCACAACTGTTCCTGTAATGTGGTTTATATATTGTAAACAACCTTCAGTTTGATTAAATCTTCGAAACACTATCAATCTTCAACCCCTCCATTCAATAAAGGAATATATTGGTTTACAATAGCTCACAATTCAACTTGTTGTCTTTGGTTTTCGGTGAAATTCAACCAACATATGGTGTTTTTATACTTTCGATGCACTCTTTTTAGGCTAGGCAATCTTAAAGCCAACTAGAAATGACGACCAACAACTATGTGTAATAAATAAACGGCCAGAATTTGAAACATGAGCAGAGTCCGCAAAAACATTTTCCCTGGTGGTCCTTAAAAAGTATTTGCTGGTCCTCACTATTATTTCTATTGCAAAATACCAAAACTGTGTCGGTCCGTTGAAAAATGTTCATGGTCAGGATGATGTTCGAACCCCCTATTTTCGAGAACTATGCTCGAGGTGAAAGATGCAGCAAGCTGTGCTTCATAACTTGATTTACACCTAAATTAACAGTGAGCGCTTGTTGAGAAGCGACTTAAATTCTGCATCACAAAAGTGGCCTGAATTTAATAAGTTTTTACGTATTCCATTTTCACTCCGCAGCGGAGTGGGAATTAAGTGTTACCCTTGTCCGGCTGGCCGTACGTCCGTACATCCCGAAATTGGTTTCTATTCTCGAACTTTAGTATCAGCAGAGTTAATCCTAATTGATGTCAAGTGATTTCTCTTTTTTTGGCCAAGTGGTAAGTCGTAAAGCCTAGAATGTTTTGGTTTGAGATTATTGGGCCATAACATGAAAAATTAATGCCATGGTCGTGTTTTGAATTTTTTTATCGATTGTTGGTTATTGCTTCTCCGCTGGAACCGTAAAAGAGAGATAAAAATGTTCTTATACAAAATATTTGATACAGCTTTCAAATTTTGGATTTTGAACGTTCCGAATAATGGTAAATTGAAAAAAGTTTTTCGGACGCACTATGTAAGTTTATAAATTCATATTTTACAGTTGACTCCAAAATCTTTGGTTTGATTTTTCATAAGGTCTATCATTTGTGTCAGATCGGCAAAAGCAATCATGATGGAATTTTCGAGTTTGAAATTGTTACCGTTCACAGCCTTTGTATTGGAGAATTTAAATGTACCGAAGGTTATAATTGTTGTAATATCTTAGGGTTATACATTATAATCCTAAGAAATTACCAAAATCATTATAACTCTAAGAAATAATTACCAAAGTTATTACCATCGGTCAAGATAAATTACCAATTCTTTATTTTTTTTTACTTTATTATCACAAAATAAGTTATATCTTTGGATTTTAACAAAGTAAAAGACGGGTGTCACTTGTGCATAGAGAACGATCATATCTGACCCTTCCGAAGAACATTGATTAATTCCCGGTTTAATCAATGTTCGTACGGAGAGCTGTTTCATTGACAATCATACCACATCTTCTTATTTTTATAAGATCTATATTTTAGATTACGTTTGTTTGGCCCATCTTGCATGAAACATAAAACCTTAAAGTTATATTCTATGCTGAACAAAATGAAATTTAATAGATGATTTGACCCAGAGATAAAGCGAAGGTTGATTACATTTGCACGTGAATCCATTATACTACTGTTTAATAAAGGCGACGGTAAACTGTAACACGTGAAATTTTATGAAGTTTTTTTTTCATCTTACCATTTAAAGAACACACCTGATAAACCACAAAGATATATTTTATTGGTGTTTGAATTATAACAAATTCATAGAATTCAAGAAGGAACTATATTAACAGTTATTAAAATAAAACAGGCATTGTTAAAAAGGTGAAATCTTCTTAATTCTTTAGAAACATCCGGCATTTGTGTATTCACCAGTTCCGTTGGTAAGATTGTTGTTGTGTAGTAATATAAGACACCGTTTGTGGCATCGCTGGGTAAACAACAGGATCAGGTGCATTGATTGGTAAATAAAGTATAATTTCCGAAAGAAAAAAGAGCACAGCTGCAAATATTTCTAACCAAATACCATAACCCTTATTATTTCTGACCGCTTCTGTCTGGAACAGTGACCATATCACTAGTGCAATAGCGATTAATACATCTGAAAAAGGTTAAATGGTACACACAATCATTGTTTTCAATTGACTTAACATTTGACAATTATTAGATTTCACTTATCGAGAGTGAGAAAAGTACTTTATTCCGTATATATGATATATATTATCCTGTTTAGTGTACTTCCTCAAGCCTGGGTACATTAACGACTATTGTACATACATCACCAATCAAAATCGCTCTTACAATCGGTATGTATTTCCGGTTGTAATTCCACTAGACGAAACTATGGAAACGAAATTATCATTTACGAATCGGGTTGTAATTCACCTGGACGGAGTATAACTTCATTTACAAGCTAATTATAATTTACGGCCTAACTATTATTGCTTCGGACGCATGAAATTATTAAACGTGTTGTTTTCAATTTTTTTACATCACTGGGTCGATACCTCTGCTGGTGGACTATCAGTCCCCGAGGGTATCATCAGCTCAGTAGTCAGTACTTCGGTACTGACATGATTTATAACAAACCTTTCTAAAATTGTCCGTTTATAAATTTTGAAATTATAAAGAAACTAAGGTTTCAACTCCCTCAGGCAAAGTTGAACTTAGATGAATTTGGCTATTTGTTTTAGGTATTTTTGTCATACAGCTCTTCAACTGTTTCCGTACTTATACATCCTCGGATTTCAAATGTTTGGCTTTGAGCGTTCCTGATGAAGGTAAATCCAGAAAAGCGCTTCGGACGCATGAAATTATTAAACGTGTTGTTTTCAATTTATTATTAACAGCGCGGGAGTCACATTAATTAGTCCATCTGTGATGACGACCGTGAAGTATACTTTACGGCGTCCATCGGTAATGGTCGACCGTAAATCTGTCACTTGTAATACGCCGTAAATCTATTATTGTCTATTAATGTGGTTCCCGCGTTCCATATACATGTGTTGTCATTTTTATTCATTCTTCATTACGTTTTTTTTTTATCATTTCTTTTTTCTTTTTGCTTTGAAAAAAAATACTTTGACACTGGATCGAATAATAACATTAATGGTACCAATTTTACTGCACCGAATGCGTATTTCGACAATAAATGTCTCTTCAGTGATGCTCGAGGCAGAAATATTTGAAAAACCAAAATGTATACAAAGTTAACGTTGAAGAACTGATCAGACTAAAAAGAACCTAAAGTATAGCCAAATCTGGAATAGGAATCAGAGCTTTGCATGAAGGGAGATATATTCCTTTATTTTAAATGATTTTTCAAAATTTTATAACAGCAAATTTCAATCAAACACTATCCGTATTTTTTATTTTACCGAAATACTGGGCTGGTGATACCATCGTGGACTTACAGTCCACCATCAATGGTATCGACTCTGTGCAAATTTCTATTCGACATAAATAAATATCAGATTTAAATAATTGTTGAGTGGTAGAATCTGTTAAGAGTAAATGGAGTTCATTATATATCAATAACTTTTTGTCGCGAAGTCACATTTTTAAATCAAAAACAAATACATGTAATAATGAAAAAATATTATAGAAACAATTATAACCAAGATACCAGGAAATATGATAAAAGAGGGACGAAAGATAGCAGAGGGACAGTCAAACTCATAGATCGAAAACAAACTGACAACGTCATGGCCAAAAATAAAAAGACAAACAGACAAATAATAGTACAGATGACACAACATAGAAAACTAAAGACTAAGCAACACGAACCCCACCAAAAACTGGGGGTGATCTCAGGTGCTCCGGAAGGGTAAGCAGATCCTGCTCCACATGTGGCACCCGTCGTGTTGCTTATGTTATTACAAATCCGGTAAATAGTCTAATGATAACTGTCTTGTACTCACTATGATTTTGAGATGAAGAACAGTAATGAAAGCGCTAATCCTTGGCTTTTTATGTTTTTGCTTAGTATGTAATGATTTTGTGTCATGGATGGATACGCCATATTTTATTTTCTATTATACAAAATGAACGTTCATTTCTTCTAATGTTTATTTCTTGTAAATTGTTCCCAAACTAATGAAGTGCAGAATGATTGTTCGTACCGTATCATTTATCAATACGTATATCTAAGTTTTACTTACCTGCGATACCAAATGTGGTAGTAACTACTAAATACGCTTTCTCAAATCCGGGTTTTGAACCTTTACTTATTTTTACAACCAATGAAAAACATCCTATGGACGCCAGTATGAGTGCAATCGTAGTAAGACCTTGGGGAATTCTGTGATAATCTAAAAAAATATATCTATTATTACTTTTATGATAAACAAGCTATATTTCAGAACTTGTATTCGTGAATGCTTTTCATCTGTTTGAAAGACTTATTACCATGTTAATTTACAGCCAGTTTTTCACTTCTAAAAAGAGAAGGAGAAAAAACACGCATTTAATACATGTACAATGTATCGTACGCATATTTGTTTATGTTACTTGTACATGTACAATGTAACAATGTAATCGTACGAATACTTTATCAAAATAACCAGTGTTATTTAGTTAATAACAGTACCGAACGAACAACAACTGGTTGGAATATAAGCTAGATCTGTATTTAACTGGAAAGGGGATTAAGCACATAAACTGAATCGTGCACTCCACTGCCAAAGGTTAAGGGGAGGGTTGAACGCTCACAAACATGTTCAAGTTAAAGGCCGTACAATGACCATTATAGTTGCTCTTTATACGTCGTTTAGTCTCGGGTGGAGAGTTGTCTCATTAGCAACTATACCACATCTTCTTTTTTTTTTACTCCCCTATATTCTTTATGTACCTGTCCAAAGTAAGGAGCTTGTAATTTGGAGGTTGTTGGTTGCTGTCTGCCCTATAAGTTTTTCGTTTGTTATTTTTGCATAGATCATGCCATAAATTTTCTTTTTTGAATTGTTTTAGATTTTGGAATGACAGAGTCTTTTATATCTTACTGTGCGATATGCGGTTCGCTCATAGATTGGGGCATTTAAGTGCTTTATTGTTGTTTAAGTTCTCGTCCTTTTGTCACTCGTGGCTAGTTGTCTCATTGGCAACCATACAACGATTCCTTATTTCTATACGGTAGATAAATGGAGGAGGGGTTTTCTAACCAGTTTAAACAAAGTACAGTCAACAAAAGAGGTAACAGGTTGTAATATAAACTAAACATGTACAAAACTATAAATCGTGTATGATTCAAATGAGAAAGGGCATTGGAGAATGTCGTATGGTGTATGGTGCATGATGTAAGAGTGTCTGGCATATGGTATAATGGTGTCTGGCATATGGTGTAATGGTGTATGGTGCATGGTGTAATGGTGTCTTGTAAATGGCGTATGGTGATTGTAATAAGTGGATAGTTTACACCATTCTAGGACTGTATAGAACGGTTTTCTTGAAGTCCAGTGGCAAATATTACATGCATATTCAGGACGATCACAAATTAACAATACGTACAATACGAAGGTTCATCAAAATCGGTCAACTGGAATGAAGGGTAAAAAATTAGGATAGCAACTAGAACAAGAAGTGATTCTGTACTTATGCAGTCACGTACGTTAAGGTCAATAATTGTTGATTTGATGCAAATGAAATTCATTGTTACAATGAGACGGTGTATGCAAGATGCAACGAATAAATTTTGGTCAGTCGATGAATTTTCAATGGTACTTTAAACACAGTGTACTTTAATATATTTTGCCTGAAGAATTATGCACATAGCTATAATATACAAATTAGTTTTGTCATCTATATCGAGAAATCTTTGGTTTTATAACCAATCAAATATTATTGGAGAAATCACATGTCAATACATTCCGGAATTCAAATTGTCGGCTTCCTTGGTTACAGACAATCAGATAGAGAATTTTACGCTTACTGTCATCCAATCAGAACCATTGATACAAAACAATTGCATTAGAATTCATGGTTCATGCATATGTAAATGTCATTTCAGATGTGAACACTGCGTGAAGAATCCGATCGAGCGAATTAAAATTCGAAATCACAAATATTTTTTCAACAATTTAAAAATTAAAAATGTCCATTTCTAGAACTCTAAAATACGAGTTCCGTATTAAATAATACTGTTATATATTTGCTTTGCAGATAAAATGTAGATCCTTATATCCTTTCGCAGTCGATCTGTACTAACTGCAAAATCCACTTTCACATAACAGATATTTCTTTTTCATTTCTTTACTTATTCTCGAATTTCAATTTAAATAATAAAATTTCTGTCGTTTTTTGTTTTGAATGCATTAAAGTCCATTTCTCGGGCGCATTCTATAATCGCCATTTTTTTTAAAAATGCAGTATATTTCATTTGATCCACAAGGTTATATTTCATTTGCGCTAGAAACAAAAATTGCTTTTGCGCTTATTCAAAGGTAAAATATAACGTAAGCGGTTTATTTTTTTACAGTTTCTATCCTGAAAATGAGGCTCGTAGTAAAAAAAATGATAGAGTATCCTCCTGGGTTAGCAAGTTAATTATGACGCATACTCATTTCTCATACAAAACTTAGAGTCACTCGTAGGTTTACATTTGTATAGTGTTTACATGTTCGAGGTGGCAAGATGGACAAAAATAGAAAAATAGAGCAAATACTTTTGTATCGCATGACCACGCATATAGGATATCTGATATCTAATGCATTGAAAACAGGAGACAAGTCGTATAGATATACCCTAAAATTATTATGCTATCAAATCTATGTTGTAACAATATTATTAAAAGTCTCTTTTCAATATATATCTATTTTTTATTTGTATCTGTATTATTGGCACAAATTAAATGTTTATTCTGGGGCAAAGGAAATATCATGGTTTATGGCACTAATAAAAGATTTTTTTGGCGTAAAAGCAAAGCACCGCATTTCTCAATTTGTGTCATTCATTAAAAAAGAATAAAAGAATCAAAACTCACACTCAAGATCAGAGTCCCACAGGGAATAGTCCTTACAAACAGTACCAAGTAGTCCGCTGATACCAACGCATCCTTTCCATAGTCCCATGTGAGCAGTAATTGATCCTATGTCCTGACTATACCAGTATGGTACAGAAAAACCAATTATATGTAATAAAAGGGCCAAACCAGAAAAAGACAGAGCTGCGACCATTAGTCCCTGATGCTTTCGTTTCGCCATTAATTTTTAGATGAATTAAGTAACAGAAATCACAATATATATTCAAAAATATTAACTGCTCATTCGATAGTTATTCACATTTAATATCGAACAGTAGATGTGGATATATGCTTTGAATGAAGACCTCTAATCAGATAAAGTATTTGAATACGTAATTATTTAACTAAAACAAAAGACTTATTACAATCATTCAACTGGAGTTTGACGTAAATAACTGTAACTGCCTTTTATGTGCCAACTTTAAAAACAATAAATTATCCATTCCTAAAAGAAAATTCATATACTATTGGGATAATTATCATCGTGGAGGTGTTCGTCTGTCTCTTCCATTCTATATACATTTACATCAGTTCTGGCCAGTTGATAAACCACAAATCCACTTTGGAACATTACACTCGGTATTTTTCTTTTTTAGAGAAATATAGATTTCATCACTGCATCAAGTGTATTACGATATTTTGCCACTCGAGACAGTTAAATTTTAATTTTTAAAGCGCGAGGCTTACCGAGCGTTTTATATAATTAAAATTTAACTATTGAGAGTGGAGAAATATCGTAATAAACGAGTTATAGTGGTGGAATCTGTTTCTCTAATGATTTTTATTCTTCCTTTTCAAAGATTTGCAGAAAGTTGTGTTCTTTATATGTGACGTCATCAGGCATTGTCGCCTTTTTTCATGACGTCACAATAGGAAATTCAGAAGAAAACAAGAAAATATGACGTCATAATTAAATTTCGAACAATCAAAAATTTCGAGAACAGTTATTTCACTTGTGAGAAGTAAAATAACAAAAAACCCAACTCCGAGGAAAATTCAAAACGGAAAGTCCCTAATCAAAAGCTCAAACACATCAAAAGAATGGATAACAACTGTCATATTCCTGACTTGGTACAGACATTTTCTTATGTAGAAAATGGCGGATTAAACCTGGTTTTATAGCTAGCTAAACCTCTCACTTGTATGAAAGAGGGACGCAAGATACAAGAGGGACAGTCGCATAAAATTCCACCATATTGGCATTGATGTGTGAACAAAACAAACAGACATAATAGGTAAAAATGTCAAAAATATGGGTACAGCAGTCAACATTGTGTTATAATCTTAATCAATATGAAAACAAACAAATATGTCAACAAAGAAACACAAAAAGGTATATAGACAAAGCACATTAGCAAAAATGAAAGACATGATTACAAAATTTTATTATACCATAGCACCATTACACAATGACGGGATGTATAACTACCGAGCCACGTCAAATGGATATTACCAAACATAGACTAAACAGTAAAAGTAATGTTCACAAAGACAAATAAAAGAATACTACAACACGTTATTAAGATGATAATCAACGTCAGTACCTAGAATCTATACTAGATGAGAACATTTTTTTTTTCACAATCAGTTGGGAAATGTGAAAATATTGAAAAAATTAGAGAAACAGATTTTGTAATTTATAACCACGTTGATTACAATTATTATATATGATAATCAACTCTAGATAGTTACATGTCAATTTGAAAATATTCGGCATGCTTGGATTTTGTGTGGTAGAATCAATAAATAGCCCATTATAATTCTCTTAAAAAGATGGCATGCGATTCCAAGAGGGCAATTAGAATAAAACAATTCGAACAAAAAATACTATGAAAAGTGGAGAAAGGCGTTTAGAAATATTCCACAAAACACTTGACAGAAATCTATGTTAGATTAAGCAAAAGAACTTCTCGAAAACAGGCTTTCACTCACGTGCTCTAGCGGTCAACAATTCCCGCTCAACTAGTAACACTCGACCTGTATAGAGTACATACCATTCATCGATGTTATTCAATATGCAAAAGTATCGTTCTGATACATTTAGCCGAATGTGAATTATGTAGTTATGTGCCATGTCAACGTTAATATGTACAGAATGTACAACGAGTCTTTTATATCTATCCTTTTCAAAGTAGCTATACTAATCTACTCTTGCTTTTATTAAAATATCAAAAGTTACATTTATAGTTAAAAATTTATTTTAGTAAACTTTTACTTTAAAAATAAGAAGATGTGGTATGATTGCCAATGAGACAACTCTCCACAAGAGACCAAATGACACAGAAATTAACAACTATAGGTCACCGTGCGGCCTTCCACAATAAGCAAAGCTCATACCGCATAGTAAGCTATAAAAGACCCCGGAATGACAAATGTAAAACAATTCAAACGAGAAATTTAACGGCCTAATTTATGTACAAAATAATGAACGAAAAACAAATATGTTACACAACAACAAACGAAAACCACTGAAATACAGTCTCCTGACTTGGGAAAGGCACATGTATACAGAATGTGGCGGGGTTAAACTAGTTTGAAGGCGCAAATCCTCCCCCTGGGACAGTGGTGTAATAGTTCAACATAAGAAAAAACTATAAAAATCAGTTGAAAAGGGCTTAACTCATCAAATGGATACAAATAGAAATACATCTAACAAAAAAACAAGAGTGGACGTGGCAGGGTAACAATACATCCCCAAATGTTTTGAAGTAAGTCCAATTGTCCAGTTATTAATTGTTGATATATTCAAATGTATTGCTAACATTTAAACATTCGAAATTCATACTTAGTGTGTATTTTACAGTACACGTTCACATGAAAATATCATGTGACAATATGACACAAAGCATATTTTATTCCCTCTTACTATGTTGTTATTTCTCAATATGAAAATATTGTCTTGCCAAAATATATCTGCAATGCAATGCAATGGTCTTCCGGGAATATGGTCGATTAGAAAATCATCTACCTACATGTACTTCAAACATTACGAAAAGCAAATATATATATTACAATAATTTAGTTTTTGATGTAACACGTCTTCTGATTGGCTGAAAGTGTTTTTGTTTATCAGCTCATAGACATAATTTTGTCATATGACCGTGACGTCATCAACGTTTTTTTTTATTCCTTAAAATGGAATTTAGAATTAAATAATAAGAAATGACTGTATGTTTTCTGTCTATTCGAAATAACCTCAAAAATGTGGTGCACACTTTAAATAACCTCCTACACGGATTATTCAGTGTGCACCACATTTTTTATGTTATTTCTTCAGACAGAAAAAATAATACAGTAATTCATTAATTAGTCAGTACTACAGTGTTGGCATGACACATGTTTGTTGTGGATATTTTCTGTAATGTTTATTGTAAAGAAAATGCTCCAAAAAAAACTTCCAAACACGAACATTTGTAGATGGCCGTAACCAGATTTTATAAGTTTTTTTAATTTTGGTTTTCTTTGCGATTCAAACTGTTTTTATTGAAGAACCACTTATGAGTCTTATTAACACGAAACATGCCTCTGCTGGTCGATTGTTTCGTCCTCGGTGATATCACCAGCCCAGCAGTCAGCACGCCATGATTGTACTGGCAATTATATATCATTGATACGCAATTTTATGTAGATTCACATTAAAGCTTAAAAAAGCATTGTTTAAACTGGCTTATCAAAACGTCTTGCTGATTTCACGAGTTATGTCATATAGCCCTTAAATGAAAAAAGTATGAAGGCTTTAACAAATATGAAAATTAGAGTAAAAGTCAAATTCATATTATCACTATGAACTGATAGATAAATAGTCTGTTAACACCTAAAGAATGTTATTTGATGGATTTTAAAATATGCGATTTTTGAATTCAAGGTTTTGTTCCAATAAAATGCTCTGTTGCACCTTTTGCTTTGCAGCTACTTTTGTCATTGAAAGGTGCAATTTAGATACATTGTAGTTAATACTTATTTGGCAAACATTTCATTGCGTATAGTACAAAGTTTCATTTAACAGTAATAATTACACATTATATAGTAAATCTATCAATAAACGTAAGGTCGTAACACCTATCATCATTTAAATGTTTTAAATGAATTTATAAATAAAAAAATAAACAAATAATTTGATAGTCCTTCGTGCAAAACAAGGAAACAATAAAAGAAGCATCGATCTGCTGAATATCGATAAATCGCACCTGCCATTTAATTACTATGTATAGATTTTGTGAGTATATGCTTCATTGGTGTTACAACAGTTAGAAAATATCTAAATCTAAATCAGTTTACTGAACAATACTTAATTTGCTAAAGGACAAACAAATAAATGAAGATAGAATCATTCTTTACGTCGCACGTGATGTCAGATGAGTCAAAATATTTAATAGAATTAAAAAGGGTATCATATGTCAGAATATATCACCAATACATTTAATACTTAGGTGACACAAATAAGGTAAGTTTGTTTGTGATACTTTCATCGTAAGACTGCTTGATTTCATTATAATCTATTCGGGCCCAGGGTAAATAGACATGGGACGAAATGTTATTTCGATACCCCTCTGGATTTCCGCTTTTTTATTCCTCATAGGTATCTTTTGCTTCGATGTTCCTCTATATTTTTGATAGATTGGACAAATCTTAAGCTGCCGTTTTAAACTAACTGTAAACCTTGTTTACGTAAATAATAGTTATAAAAGACTTCTTTTAACCCTTTTTTTTTGTATATATTATTATTAAATTTACCTACCGGAGAGGGGATGATTGTATACGGAAATTTCTTCACATTTATTAACTCAAAGTTGGATTGGTCATAAGAATAACGCGTTTTCAATTTCGATCCGGAAATAACATGATATTAGGATACTTGGTGAGGAAGAATTCTCTTGGTTTTGTTGGATATATGAATACTCAGCCAGGTCGATCTAAAAGGGGAAATTTTAATTGTTGAAAGAGTGTCATGCTCTTAGTCCGTTTAGACAGATTTTCGGTGGATATCAGCGGGAAATTGTAAAGCAAAGTTTCTGATCTTGTTTCAAATGTTCTTGTTCTATAGTTAAGGCCGACATTTTTTCAAATGTCCTGCCTGTTCACTCACTTTTAAAAGCTTGCCTAATTTATTTGTTGCATTTTCTCTCTCCTTTTTACAAATGTTCTACTGAACGTTTAACAATCAATAGTTACTTGTCATTTCAACGTTTATATTATTATACAATTTCATGACAATTGATGGAATAAGACTAATTCAAAATTAGCGTTGAATTAAAGAGAAAGTCACTGTTTAAGGCGTTTTGATTGGTCAAGGCGTAATTTATTCTGAGACTGCGGAGTGTAGTTAAAGTTGAAAGTTGAACTTTTGAATGCGAATATCGTCTATGAAAACAAGAGTTCGACTTGTTTTAGAGTGGGTAAATTACCGATCTTTTGTAAGTAATTGAAACTATCAATATAACACATATGTGAAATTGCATTTTGCAGATCGCATGGGTAATGTTTTGGTAAGTATATTTATATGTAATAAATAAAAAAATGTGTGGGGAAACTTCCCACAAAGTTCAAGATCAAAGGATGGCACTGAATTAAATAATATCGATATTTTAGAATATAAATTAACAGTTCTGTTTTCTGTGAGTGGTTGCAGTTACAAAAACTTAGCTTCGTGTGATTCTCCCGATTGTTACTGACCACTATAATTCTAAACAGATGTAGCGTTGTCAAACATAGTGTACATGTAAAAAACTTATTTCAGACGGAATAGCACGTCCTAATTTTTACGATGATGTTGTTTACAGAGCCCGGAAATTTATATACGACCCGGGTAAACTTATCAATCCTTTAAATAAACTTATTCTAAAAGGTTACCAATTCAACACTAAGTCTGTTATTAGAAGATATCGATTTTGTTATCAGTAAATTAAAACCATACTGAATAGTATTTTTATCTACATATGTACTTTCACGGCACTACAATCTGTCGATACCTATATTTTGGCATTGCACAAGGTCATGTTTTTCTCTGACTGTTAATGACGTCTTTTCACTAAATCCATTGGATGTTGGATGTGTACTGATTGATATATTAGTCTTAGATACATGATATCTTTTGGTAGTTGTTATTGGCTTTGAACCAGCTGTCAGTAACTGCGAGTACTCTCAGATCTGTACTGTGTACCCTGCCAAGTCCGGTCTGTGTTTTTGTTAGATGTTTTTCTGCTTTGTATCGATCTGATGAGTTAAGCCATTTTCAACTGATTGTTTGTTCTTATGTTCTGCTGTAACACCACTGTACCAGGTGAGGGGGGTGTTGACCGCTCACAAACATGTTTAACCCCGCCACATTTCGCACGTCGGGGCCTTTTATAGTCGACTATGTGGTATGGGTTTTTTCTCATTGACGAAGGCCGTACGGTTGCCTATAATTGCTTACATTCACTTCATTTGAACTCGCAATAATACCACATCTTCTTTGTTATATAGTGTTACGCCTATAGAGTAGAGAGAAAACAATCGTGCAATTGTGTTTAAAAGAAAATAAGTGTAACCAGAATTAAACAAGTAACACTGTATTATTTTGTTTTTGTGTCAACTACTTTATTTACAGATGCAAAGAACAACTATCTACCAATCCTAGGGGGAAATGACATAATTACGTTTTCCGACTTTCAATATTAGTTCTTTATAAAAATACACATCTTATTTCTTGTGTTGTATAAATGTATCTTATGAAATGCAACACGCTCTCAATTAACAATCGGAAACGAAAAACCAACTCTTTTGTCGTAATTTTTTGTATAAAGTTTCATGTGAGAAACTGAAATATCCTAACATTTGAAAAGGATAATTATGACTGTTTGTATAAGAGTTAATCAAATTAGTTTCTCTTTCGTAGATTTCCGTAATATAATTAGAAAAGTATTGATTATTCAACGTAAAATATTATCCAGCTAACGATAATTGTTGTAAAAGGAATCAAGACAGATCTTTACTGAGTTGGTGACCATGAACTGTGATCCATATCAGTATAGGAACACGTCTACTATTAAAAGAGCGCAATTATTGCCCATAGGAATACCTACAACCTTTAGATAAACTTTATTGCCGAAACGTAAATAGGTGATGCCGAGGAAAAATTTTACAGATTAAATAATATCATCATAGTTTCATTAAGTATATCTAACAGCTTTAAGGGTTTTTACTTTAACAAAAATTAAAAGAAACTAGCAAAGTCTTTGAATATTAGCTATTGCTACATGTGTATAAATGAAGTACTTCCTGACATGTTGAAAATGTTGAAGAATTATTAATCTACGCGTTTAATCGATCTGCCCAAATAGTGTAACCGTTTTTGTTTGATTAATTTTTCGTGAGAAAAAAAACTGGTCACACATTCTTTTTTATTAGCTACGAATTCTTACCTGGTTTCATTTGATATTCAGAATGTATGTGGGAAAAAGGGAATTTTGTCTCAGAATGGGACGAGTAAACAGCCTTGGAATAAATCTAGTCAAGGTTGGACAACCCCAGATACAACTGTGGCCAGCGAATTTGTGAGCACCCTTTACGACAATACAAGTTTTGGATCAACAATATTAGATGTAAGATATTTAAATACAGTTAGTGCATATATTAATGTTTCGTGTTTCACAGATCTAACAAGAAAATTATTTTTAAGTCAGGTTTAATGTATAAAGCAGAGTGGAGACAGACAGTTTCATGATAGGAAAAATGTCTGTGGAATTGTAGTAGGTCTTTTGTTTGCTGTATACTTTCTTAAAAATTACACAGATGTAAATTGATAGATTCAGACAGAAATACAGATTTTGTTCGTAAATTTTGTCCAGTACCACTGCAAATAACTTTTGGTTTTTCATCGAAAATAACTTGCGTACTATTACCCAGCTGTTTTCAGCGCGTTGATGGACTCTCATCAATTAAAAAATGACCTTTTATTTACCCAGTTTTGGTAAATAAGTTAAATGCAAAATCATAACTGTGCAAAACTTTTAAAAAATAATAATGAACTCCCTTATACGTACATGTAGGATAAATATACTATCATGAATAGTGTGGTTTGTCATATATCATTTCTATTTACGACATTATGTATGTGTCTGTCCCAAATCAGGAACCTTTAGTTCAGTGGTTGTCGTTTGTTGTCGTTTATTATATTTGACTCCCTTATTGATTTGTACATGAATAAGGCCGTTAGTTTTTTTCTCGTTTAAATTGTTTTACAATTGTCATTTCGGGACCGTGTATGGCTTACTTTGCGGTATGGGTTTTACTCATTATTGAAAGCCGCACAGAGACCTATAGCTGTTAACTTCTTAAAACGTCACTAAGTCTCTGGTGGACAGTTGTCTCATTGGCAATCATAGCACATCTTTTTATTTTTACGTGGGGATGTGAAAGGGTGATTGTGATGAAGAGTGGAAAACTCACTTAGAAATATTAAAGGGATATGCTGTATTAATTCATGTCACAAAATCCATACACATGACAAAATCTAAAGCAATGTTCTTCATCTTAAATTCACAATGAGGCCTCCAAAACGGAAAAACTCAAATCTCACTGCAAGTTGTAGATGGCCCCAACTAGCAACAGTTTGAGCGAAATCCTTTGCTATGTTGACATGAATTATCATTTATATAATCATAATTATCAATTCACTATTTACAAAACTTTGGATATTTCGAAATAATAAGGATCTTCAACCCCAGGAATAGATTACCTTAGCTGTATTTGGCAAAACGTTTAGGATTTTGGGTCCTCAATGCTCTTCAACTTCGTACTTTATTTGGCCTTTTTAACTTTTTTAACTCGAGTGTCACTAATCATGGGTCTCTTGTAGACGAAACGCGCGTCTGGCGTACAAAATTTCAATCCTGATATCTATGATGAGTTTATTTACTTAATATGTGCATTAAAGAACACAGGCTTTGTGTTATATCAGCAAATAACATATTATAAAGGACAGTGAAATCAAAGAAGGCTATCATAATTTTCCCGAAATCTGATTGTCAAATTCAGAAACAATTTATTTTTTAAGAAAATCAGAAGACACAGAAGATATGTTGTTGTTGATTGTCTTAGTTAGTATATCTGTTATTTGTTTTTGAATGAGTCAGTGTTTGATGGTTAATGTGGTCTGTTGTACTGTCAGATAGTTTTGGGGATTTGTGTTATACGTTTATGTATTGTTAGAAAAAATAGCAACACATAATGTATGAATGGGTGTTGGATTAGGAGAAAAATAAAAATATCAATAGTCCATATAACAATATAAAAAAGGACAAATGCTATCACACAAAAAAAGTCATATAATGAAAAGAACGACATCCGTTCTCGAATTCTATATAACCTTTTGCCGGTAATCAAAGCCAGCAATTGTAAAGATTTAAGTTCATTGTGAGAACATGAATTTGAGGAAAAATGTCTAGAATAGTTTTTAAACCCAACCATTTAATGCCGAATATCAAGTTTCGTTAGTATGATAAGTAATGAAATTAGAAAACGCGTTTGTGTCAGGTTTGCAGTTAGAAATTAGCATTAAGATATTTGTCAAACTGTTCTGTCCTAGAATTCTGTTTTATAGAAAGAACACATTGCTTTTATTTTTATGTTAAACTAGATGTTGTTCAATTGATTATGGGTTTTGAGTAATTACTATAAAAAATAGAACATATCCCTGGAGGTCTAGTTCATTTGTTTTTTCCTAAATTTACAATATTAAATATCTAAACTTTTTATAGCTATTCGATGAGTCGACACCAAATATGAGGACGAGTAATAACCCATCTACAATAGAAAGCTCAAACATAGATAACCAAGATGAAAAACCGAGAAAGGTATTTTGTTTTACTAATGAAAATAGATTGTCATAGCGCGTTGTAATGCAAGGCGTACACTTTTAAAGTGAGTATTGTGTTTTGAATTATTTAAACTGTATAGACTTAAAGTCTTTCGCCGCATTTTTGGACGCAGAACAATTTACATTATAAATGAAACATTTCATTTTCTGATTTCTACATATATAGTCAAGTGTAATTCTGGTCTGATATACATTCCGGTCTTCTTTATGATAATAACTATTTTGAGTTGGCTTTCTACTGGTCAAAGGAGGACAACTCTATTGTTGAAAAAGAGGGGGAAGATACCAAAGGGACATTCAACACTGGTTATCCGAAGAAAAACTGACAACGTTATAGTAAAAATCGAAAGACGAAAAAAGGACTAACAAGTCCACAAGACACTACATAAAAAACTAATGACTGAGCAACACGAACCCCAACAAATACTGGGGGTAATCTCGGATGATTCGAAAGGGTAAGCAGATCCTGCTCCATTTGTGGTACCTGCCATGTTATTCATGGTAAGTACAAATTTGGTGACAAGTCTCATTCGGTAATGTGCTTAGTCACTCATTACAAATGCAGTACACTTTGATAACAAATGTTGTGTGGAGTGCCGTTGTTTAGAGAAATAAATTATTTCTTTGACAGTTTAATCTTTTTGGTATTTCTTCCATTTTTTATGATTTTTGTTTTATTATTTCATTCTTGATATGCAATATTGATGCATACTGTAATTTGAATAATTTCAGACGGTCCAGTTCGATGAAAAGATTGAAAGGCTACAACGTTTAGAATGTATAAAGCAATATATTCTAGACAATAATAATCGGGTAAGTTTGCAATATATTATATTCGTTTCAAACATCTTTTTTTAAACAGAGTTTTCTATCAACTTTCAAATTTTGAACTCTCAGTGAAACAAATAAAAAGGAAATTGCCATACCTCGTGTAAAAAAAAAATTGTCCAATTAAGTATGGTTGTTATCTAGACAGAGAATATCCCCAGTTATTAGGAAACAGACTGTCCTTTCGCATGACCAACATGTTTCTTTTAACAAGTTTTGTATGTTTTAAGGAGGATAGCGCTCTTTGTAAAGCCATAAAAGAAGGATCGTCGTATTCCATTCGAGTAATAAATGATTTGATCAAGTCGGGAGAGGAGGATCTTAATTTCAGAGACAACAAGGTACTGGTAACAGTTTTGAATTGTATAAATAAATATTGTGTATTTTTGCTGTTGTTAAATGGAAGGAACATGGCGTTATCTATTATGTATATCATAACTTGTAAGAAAATTAAATTCTAACATTTCGACACAGATGGCCATTAGCGAAAGTTCCTGATTATATTTCAGACTAGTTTTAACAAATATTGTCTATCCTGTAACTTCCAGTGTTTGGACGATTGATTGTTGGTTGCTTAACGGCCAGTGGCTAATATTTCATGCATGTTCAGGACAATGTGTTTGGAAGAAGAAAAATCACTTTTGTGAATAACCAGACATTGAGAAAACGGGTTCCCAGCCATTATATCCCCAGCAGTTAACAAACATATCAGTTATATAACATTAACTTTTTTTATTTATTGACAGGGAGACCCAATATTGTATACAGCACTATTGTATGAACAATGTTCAAACTCATAAGTCGAAAACAAATTGACAATACCATGACAAAAAAACTAAGAACGATCAAAAGACAAAACAGTATACAAAATAAAACATTGAAAACTAAAGACTTAGAAAACCAGTTACTCTAGTCACTTTTACAAATTACTCTCCTATATGAATGACAAAATTAAATACAATGAACAGAACAATGAATGAAAAACTTTTATGCAGATTACTGGACATTGAAACAATGACTCTTCACAACCAGATAATGATTTATGTGTATTGATAGGGAGACCCTATATTGTATACAGCACTATTGTATGAACAGTTTGACGTTGTGAAGTTGTTAATTGAACACGGAGCAGAGGTCAACCACAGAAACAAACAGGTTTGAAATATGTTTGTACTAGTACTGTATTTAACTCTTTAGCTGCGAAACTTTCTTGAACTTGCTCAGTTTCACCAGGATGAAATGTGCAAATAGAAAATAACTTGACTACCGTTTCTTCGTAAAAAGTTGTCTTATAACGCAAAGTAATTAATATAAAGACTCTAGCAATAGCCAGTCATTTTTGGACTAGCACTCTGAAGCAATCTATGGCGCAACTCAACGGTTGGACTTCAAAACTTCATGATATTGAAGTTCAATTGATGTACCTTTTGTGTATTTTAGAAATTTATATCTTGTCAGGAATGCTAAAATCCAAACATAGGTATCCAAATGAATCAGACCTCGACAGTCACCACGAAAAACAAATGTTATTTTGTTTATTAAAACGGCAAAACAAAAACACGGCATTGAACACATATGGATCGGCATATAATTGTAAAAGCTTTTCTCAAATGTCAATAATATATAAGTACTACTAGTACTAACATATCATTCCCTTTTAAAAGCAATCGCAACATGCCATGTGGTATATTTTCCAATCCGCTAGCAGTGACATCAAATAAGCAGTAATACATACAAATGATAAAATACTGGAGTATCTGTGTGGTACCATACGCACATTTTCAAATTGCTTTTGCTATTAGCTCCTTACGCATATCTTCATTCCTTTTATCGTCTATTTTGGTTTATGAATAGGAGTTAATGATACCGATTAACAGTCGCGTTTCTGGAATAACGTTGTTGGTGACACTCAATTAAGAGGTCAAAAATCCAAGTACATGAAACGTTTGTAAGCTGCGAAACTTTTAAAATCTGAACAGCTAAGACCGCCATAGAACAACTTTTTGTCTAAAGGAGTTGCAATCTTCTAGATTTTTTTGAATTAATATGCATGTACTTTTTAGAAAAGTAACTGAAAATATAAGATTAAATGTTTTGCTGTCATCTAAGATGTTAGCTCTTTTTGAAAAAAATATGATATTATAGTGGGATCCAATCATATATACTGCCGTCCAGTCTAACAGAACAGATATAGTGGAAATGATGATAGAAGCCGATGCGGATGTGGATTGTAGAAATAGCAAGGTACTATTTTTACCACGATTGAGTTCCCAATGTACCTTAAATTTGAAGTACGATCCATCTTGGATGTTTATATGTAACTTTCATTCCTGTTTTTAAATCATGTAACTATCTTATAAATAAGGAAATGCTGAAAATCCTAAAAAAATTACATGCTTATAAATGGCTGGTGTTGAAAGTTAACAATAAACTTTGGCGTTTTGTCGCCTTCGCAGATCAACAGACTGACAATGATAAAGGCACAGTGGAGGTAAATCAAAGCGAAACGTGCATTTCTTGCCGTACACATTTCTGGAATAATCGTTTCTGGGACTGCAAAGAGCATAGTATGCAGTACAAAGGAATATTTATTAAACATTGTGTTACAGACGATCAAACAATTTCAATTTATAAAATTGTTATTTTTTTATTAACTATTAAAGACAGTAAACTATTATGATATTTATAAATTATATTCTTTGTCCAACAACATTTTATAGGTACTTTTAACTGTGCAATTCTATTTTACTTTAAGGGTGATACGCTTTTATACACTGCTGTACTGTCCAAGCAGAAGGAAATGGTCAATCTTCTTATAAAGTACAGTGCTGATCCTAATATTAGAAACAACCTAGTAAGTCACAAGACGGATAAATGGAATGTTTCCTTCCAGCTTAAAATTTAAATTGTCAATTTTAGTCAAACCTCCTACATGACTGTTTAAAGATCGCCTCTATTAAGTAAAAACCTGTTTGTTGGGTCACTCTCTTCTTGATCCTCCGGTGTAATACATATGGATTTTGAACCTCAATTTCAAGGTCCCTTCTCTTAAAAGTTTAGTTTTCTCTAGTCCCGAGGGCGACCTTTATATACAGGTTTAACTGTACATTATGTTCCTAACTGAATTTTAAGCAGAGGAGAGTGTTTGACCTTGCCGCCTATTAGTGTTTACATTATAATAAATGTATCATTTGAAAGATTCAATAGTACATTTTGAAATAAATCTACATATACTTTATATGTTTATACTCTATTTTCAAGTTTAACAATTTCTTAAGTTAATAAGTAATATTTATTTATAATTGCAGGCAAAAAAATAGAAAGCTATTGTTAAAAGATGTTTGTATAAATAAATTATGTCTTTGGTGAGAAATTCATTCATTTTTTTTTAGATATATCGTTGTATATATATATATAAACGACGAATAAACAACAATCTTCAAAGCATTAGTAATTCATAAAAAAACTAAAGACTAAGCAACAAGAACTACACCATAAACCTAGGATTATCTCAAGTGTTCTGGAAAGGTTATAAATTATCGTGGAAAGTGGTATCACTTTTAGTTTTTTTTTATTTAAGGGAACGTCATGTTTAGAAGAAGCAATGACATCGAATCAATTGGATCTAATGCAAATTCTCGTGGAATCAGGAGCTGACATTGACATAAAAGATAAAGAAGTATTCTTATTTTGTTAATTTAGTTTATTATACATTGAGTATGTGTGTGTGGAGTTTAATTTTGAAAATTGTTATATATTAGATAAACAATGAAAATTTCCAAAATAATATATATGCCCGATCTTCAAATTATCAAATCAAATTTTACGTGTCAGCAAAATGTCATTACTTGATATCTCGAGTTGAACATGTTATATTCTATTTCAAGCAATGTAAACCAATCTTCGAAAGGAAGAAAGTCAACTCTTAGACTTGTTCGCCTTGCGTTGTATTCTTATGTCTCCCTAAGGTATAGTGTATAGGGTTATATCGATGTTTATGTATAGCATATACTGTAACCATTGTTTTTTCTGTAATGATTAAAACCACGAGTTATCCTCCCTTCATTCTGTGTTGCATATGCATGACATATGTGTAACTGAACGTTAAGTAAACAACAATCCATAAATCAGTCTTTCTTTGTGAAATAAAACTAACCACTTGGATGATTTCAAAATAAAAGAACACCCTGCATATAACACTGCAATTGGAATAATTTCTAAGAGTGTGTTCTACTTTCTCGTGAAAGCGGATGTGACGTTGATGCCAGGTTGTGTGACCTCTATTTGGGAGTCACACAATAAAGCAAAAGTTAGATATATCCGAAATTATACCCGAAAAAAAAACATTTTCTGAAAAAATGTCAGATGAGAAGAAGAAATGTTTATATAAGGTTGCATACATTTTCAAATGATGTTATTATCTGTTCGGAACTTTATCTAATTTTGAATATTATACTTTTTTCAGGGAAATAATTTATTGCATGTTGCAATGATGTTTAAACAAATACGATGTTTGGAAATTTTGTTAGATCTCGGTGCTGACGTAAATATTCCCGACAAAGAGGTAATCCCTAAAAAAATGATTTGTTTTTTTTTTGTTTTTTTTTTAAGAAAGCTGAAAGATAGTATATGCACTTAATCGGAACAAGGTATGATTGGCTGAGAGAAAATGAAAAAGATTGTATGAGCAGTTATTATTTTTGAAAATATACTTAGTCCAAAATAATATATGATCTTAGCCGATATGATAAATTTGTAATACAAAGTACAAGTAGCACGTCAATTTAGAAAGTTTAACATTTAGACTGTTTAAGTATTGTATCAAAGTATTTGGGTTTAATATACCTTGCAAATTTTTAAATTCATTTTGGATCCTGCTGTTTGCGTTCCTGGTCAATTATTAGTATACTACTCTTAGAGTTTATTGATATCAGAATCAATTGGGTTTTCTTAAGGGATTACAGCAACAGGAGACAGATCGATATTTAGACTTGAAATATTGATTAACTTCGAATTACAAATATTTGTTTTCTTCTTCTGTATAATATATGTAATCTTAGTTTATCTGAAAGCAGAAGGAAAAACTACTGAGAAGATAATTTCGTATTGAACTGTTAATTTAGTTTATCATATTATTTCCAACGTATTTATTTCGGACAGGGAAATCCTGTATTAGAAATGGCAGTATTAATGGAACAAACTGATGCCATAACGTTATTACTTAAATATGGCGCCGATGTTAATATCACTAATGAAAAGGTATTACGTAGTATGCAAGTTTAAAAAAACTAAATATATCTTTATACAAGAGAGTTAAATCGCACGACGGCCATTAAAACAGCTATCTGCTTAAGATGTCAACGTGGAAGTAAATATTTCACAAATAAAGATTAACTGACCTTTAGGCCTTCAACAATGAATAATCATCTATTTCTTGATGAGCCATATAACATTCCAACTCATACACTAGTACATGTAGACAAGTTAGAAGAGTCCAATCTAAGTCATCAACACAAAACAAAAACAAGGAAAACAAGAAAACAAAGACATTATAAGTCAAATGGAAAGTGAATAAACACATCAGTTCTGTTGTTTGGACAATATAATAGGGGGAAACGACCGAGGTTTTTATTATTCAAGCAGAGCCACCTTCAAGTTGATACTTTGTAATTTAGAAAAATGATATAGTAATGGATAAGATTAATGATAGTTATATAACGTTATTGCATGAATATTTGAGTATATTTTCTGGAATAGATTTGTAGATTGCACGAACTTGCGAGTGCAATATACTTTCTACGAGGGATGATATGCACCTACATTCATGGAATAAGTCTTTAATTTTATAGAAAAGCTTGAAAAACTGTTTAAAACATATCTTTGTCACTAATGACGTCAATGATTTGCACTAATGCAATATAACAGAATTTTCGTAACTTTCTGTACTAGGAAATATTATATGGCTATACAATAAATGTTCATATTAATCTAACAAATTATTGTATATCACATTGTATCTTAATTACATGATGTTAAAAATATAAAAATGTATCAAATTACTGAAAAGGTTAGCTATTAATGAAAACGTTTTATAGGGAATTCCAGTCTTCTTCAAAGCAGCAAAACGAAAAGGATGTGATACAATGAAACTGATGATAAAAGGCGGAGCTAATGTCAACATACAGGACTCACTGGTATTTGTTTTGTCTTATTTCTTTTTCTTTTCTTTTTGGAATGCATTTTTTTAGGATGAAATTTGAAAAAAGGCAGGACAGGAGTTTTGATTAAAAAAAAAGCAGAATGAGCAACTTGGCAAAAAAAAAAAGGGCAGGATGACAATTTATGAAAAAAAAGTCAGGATAAACTAATAAAAAAAAAAGGCAGGACCGAATAGAGTGAAAAATAAAAAGGCAGGACAGAGATTACAACTAAAAAAAATTGGAGGACAACATTTTTCATCCTAGCTCCCCCTCCTTTTCCATAAAAATCAAATGGTAGCTCCCTTGGTCAGCATTTTTAGTTTGCCACGACCAAGTTGAACCATTGGTGTTTACGTGCGCACGCATATATATTGTGCTGAGTTTTAAAGTCAACCATTTTTTCAAGTGTTAAAAACCTTTATCTTGAGATAATATAACTACCTCAAACCATAATATAGCCACTTGGTGACTTTTATTAAGTTCAACATCCGAGTTCAGTTCTCAATTACAATTTTGTTTTAAGATACTTGTTCAGTAAGAATAATTCCGGGCGAGCATAAGTGTCAAGCAGAGAACCTTTCTAAACTTGCGAAACAACATAGGCATAGGAAACTTGTGGAAGGAATGTTTAGTGTGTATTTTGGATTCTAACAAATTATTTAATATATAGATTAGAGGCTTCTGATACTGTACATATATTTGTATACTGACAATGTAATTATAGACTTGAAATAACGTTACAGACACTGTTCAATTTATTTTTATTTTCATTTTCAAGGGAAACACGGTCTTATTTTTAGCAATTGAACGGAATAATTGTGAATTGTTGAATCTTTTATTTGATGTTGGCTGTGATGGAAATATTCGCAATAATGAGGTAAATATCAAAATAAAATAAAAAAACACTTGTCGGATAATATCAAATTGAAAACTTTGTGTTGACAATACTTCAGATAACATCCTTGTATTGTTTACTGGCTTTTTTCTTAAAAAGATCTTCGACAATGAGTGAAAACCTTGTTTGATAAGTTGAACTGCATTCAAGTTTTATTTTAAAAAAGTACAGATATGAAGTACAGCAACTAATTTTAAAGTGCATGATGACGTGATTTCATATCTGCAGTCTCAGCAACTCCGAGCATTCTTTGATGCGGTATAATATTATTTTTGATCATCGCCATTTGTTATCTTTAATTCTGTTTTTCAGGGTGCTTATCTTGTACAGACTTTTATTGTGTGTTATACTCGTATGAAGAATAGCGAAATCAGAGAACTATATTTTAATCAGATTGACTTCTGAATGTATCTTTTGCTTGTTATCGACTGAAATTTGTTTAACATCTTTTATTTTTAATTTGCATAAAAGATTTGCAATCATACAAGTTTTTCTACAAAAAAGATATAATGGAAAGGATACATTGTACATTGTAATTTGTGTATATTAATAAAAGTACCAATTTGAAAAATATATTTCATTTTTAAATCATATGCTATATTTGTTGATTTGTGCAAACAGGGACTATCATGTAAAGAATATGCTTTAAATATCAAATCAGACAGACATAGTGTTATCAAGACACTTTTAACATCTGGATGTATCAGTTACTCTGATATAATAAGTCGGGATAACAAGACAGCAATGCAATTGAAGGTACGCTTTAAAGTGACATTGTTTCCAAAAATAATAAGATGTGGTATGATTGCCAATGAGACAACTCTCCACCAGAGACCAAATGACGCAGACATTAGCAACTATAGATCACCATACGGCATTTAAGAATAAGCGAAACCCATACAGCATAACAAGCTATATAAAGCTACGAAATGACAAATGTAAAACAATTCAAACGAGTTAACGGCCGGATTTATGTACATAATAATAAACGAAAAACAAAAATGACATACAGCAACAAACGACAACCACTGAATTACGGGCACCTGACTTGGGACAGGCATAAACAGAATATGGCGGGGTAAAACAAGTTTTACTTATTATATTGTATTTATCATAATACTTGTAGCAAATAAATTTGTAAGATGAAGAATTATACATATTTTACCAACATTTTGGCATATTTAAATTCATATGTTGAAATAAAGGTTGAAAGAAACGTACTAGCGGTTGTTGTAAATTATAAAAAAAAAAATATGATATGTCCATATTCTGTAAATTTACTGTTTATAACATACTGAATTATACGAAAAACGAAGTTTTGTTTGCCCTATGCATAGATTGCCATAGCCGTATTTGGCATAACTTTTCTCAATTTTCGAATTTAAATGCTCTCTAATTTCGCATTGGATTTTGCTTTCTAGCTATTTCATTCGAGCCCCCTGGCGAGTTTAATGAAGACGAAACGCGTCTGGAGTACAAATCATAAGACTGATATCATTGATGAGTCATTCTAAACGTATTAACTGCTTCAAAAGCATTTAAAAAAAAATTAACAGGATGTATACCATAGAATTTCATGATTTGACACGGCAGGAAACAGAAAATTGCCAGTTTTGTTGTTTAATAGACTATTTTCATATTACCGACTTTTGACTCCCGAGTTTATATTTTTTGACAGGTTACCTAATCTGTGGCAGGACATCCTGGTACTCGATCAGGTAAGAGCAACCAAAAGAAGTAAAATCAAACATATAATCGGTGCAATTTGGGGAGAAAGTTTACTGTCTTCCGATTATTTTGTCGTGTATAGAAAACGGAAAACATTTAATTTCCTCCAGAATTGTACCGATTGAAAGCTTGATTTTACTTCTTTACGTTGCTCTTTCTTGACCGAGTATCAGAATGTCCTACCAAAGAGTAGGTAACCTGTCGAAAAAATATAAACTCCGGTGTCAAACGTCGGTAATATGAAAATAATGTATTATACTAATATTGCAAAAATATGTAAAACAACTTTATAAGAACACTATATTATTTGACTTTTAAATTAACCTAATACTTAAAACAATGTAAAGTATAGTGTGGGTTTTTTCAGGAAAGAGAAGAGAATGCAGGCAAGTAAATTTTCGTTTGATCAAATATAATCAAAATACTGTTATGATCAGTTATTACTTCTCTTCAGAATTGTCAGAATAATCTGTCATAGAATTGTTCTATTCTGTCCTAAAGCAGTTCTGGGGTAAAACAGGAAAACAGCTGTTCTAGGGCAACAGTCTGAATCTTGAACTGTCAAAATCTGTTTTAAGGTGATACCGTCGTAAAATGTTATAAGGAAGAATGCGATCTGTCCTTGGGTAGAACTGTCTAGATCTGTTCAAGGATAGAACTACCAGAAAATGTTTTAAGGTAAAACTTACACAACTGTTCTAGAGAAAGAATTGTCAGAATCTGTTTTAGGGTAAAATTGTCTAAATTTGTTCAAGATAAAACAACTGTTGTCAGAAACTCAGTAGAAATATTTAGAAAAGTTAATGGTAAATTTAAGAGCGATCAGAACCGATCCAAACTGTAAGGTCTTTTATTCACGGCTTTATTCTGAAAACTGTCGACTAAATTAACTTTGATGCCAACACAGCATAGGATATTTTTCTCTCTTTTTAATCTGAAAGTTTTTATGTTGTTTTTTTTTTTTCATTTTCCCTCTTTTTCCTAAAGTTCAAGTTGTAATCACTTGTTCTCTTTTCAAATGCACAGTCTTTTTTTCGTTTTTCCACTGCAAATTTCAAATAATTTCAGGTAATTTTGTGTCTTTCTGCGATAGAGCTTTGTTCATGCCATCAACACAAAGTCAGCACCATATATCACAGTGGCGTCAGAGTTATCCGCCGAATAAATGTAAGTGGTTTAAAAACAAATGCAGTTTTGTCATTTAATGTTAGCCTTTTTAGCAATTTTTATAAAAAGTAAAAAACATTCATTTCGACTATGTTTATAGAACATTTTTTAGTATGATTGTTTTTGGTTTTTTTTTTCATTGAAAATACCAATCCTTTACACATTAAATTCCAAATAACAATATGTTTAAACATATCTAAGAATTAAGTAACACGTGTTGAATATCATAAGGTAAAATTTATTTTGTAGACTCTTTGGTCAAGTACAATAAAAAAAAATAATAATGAAATATATTTCATTCTAATTTACTTATTCATCAATAAATTAATTTTTGTTTTCAAACTTTTGTTTTTCCTGCTTTTTGAAACGACAGGGTGAGGGTCTGAGGTAAATCTTTGTGATTTTTGTTGTGATTAAGATAAATGGTATTGTATCAAATTTTATCTTTGTCCTATTTTTTATCAAATACTTTTTTTAAGACTGGTTCTCCAAAGTAAACCTGATCTGTGATCACATACACGTTGACTGTATCATTGATGGAAGATTACAGTTTGCCTACGAAACATTGAAAATTTTGACCTCAAAAGGAACAGATGAACAAAATCGTAAGGATTTATTTTTTCCAAAGGATTAATTGAATATGAAATATATTCTAACCAAAGAAAGGGACAAACAACAAGTATACTACTTGGTATAAAAGCTTGGACAATATCTATGTTTACTGTATGTACTTTCGGTACAATTGAACAGGAGTACCATGAACATCTAAACGAAGTGGTCAGTTACAACCTGAAATTCATCATCTTTAACCTTTTAAATTCAAACTTTAAATATGCATATAAGAGAAACTGAACAAAATGGAATCTCATTTGATTTTTGTATTTCAGTATATATCGTTTTCGATTGCGCATATATTGTAATATGTAAGTATTTCTTTCTTCACAAGTACTTGGCTGTCTTTTGCAAACATGAAGACTTAGTTTACAGTCTTTTATCATTTGTTTGTTTTAACATTTAAAATCTTTTTAATGAAGACTTAGTTTACAGCCTTATGTTAATTTTTGTTGTGGCATTTAAGATATTTTGTTATTCTGTTTTAATAGGTGACGTTAAAGATGCCGAATTTGTGGAAGATCCTCACCCATTTAAGGCAGAAGACCCTAAGGCAATTACAGAATTTGAGTTATTATTGACAACAAAAAATATGATAAAGAACAAAGCTGATATAGAACAAATAACACATGGAGGAGATTCAATGCTTCACTTATCTATTAAATACAAGCATAAATGTTTGTTACGATTTCTACTTCATAATGGTGGCAATCCGTACAAGCGGAACCGGAAGTCTCTTTCACCATTACAAATGGCTTTTAAAATCAATGAACAGACACTTGTCATTCCTATGTCTTATTATATTCTACGAGACTTTACAAAATGTGTGTTCTTTTCTGTTGACGTGAAGGATAAAGTATGGACAGGATGGAAATGTGAATGTAAACGTCACACTTTAGAGGAAAGAGAACTGTGTTCAATGAATTTTATTGTGGTGGTTGAAACTGACAGCGCCAAAGTTCCTGGTAACTTTTCTTTCAAAGGACTAGATGTTATATTTCATCAACCTGCAAATCCACACAGAGAACTAGATTATGTTCTGTCAGATTCCAATAATATTTTAGACAACGATAATTTATCATTTTGCCCAGAGTTACCAAAGAGAAACTTGCAATATTTGTTTGAAAAACATAGCAATCTCAGATTTATCTGTCCATCGGCATTGCAATCAATACATTTTTCAGACCCACATCGCGCTCATGAAATAAAACGGGAACACTGTCTTTGGTTTATTCTGAAATATAAGGGTATTATACCGATTGAGGAGAGTCACTTACCATGTGATAAAGATGGAATGCCAACTGACTGTTTAGAACTGGCCGATGATACAGTTGCTTGGTTGACAGAAACAAATAAGTCATATCGACTATTATCACTTCAAGACCATGTAAATCAAGCTTCACTTATAGGAGCAACGTGTGATGACAGTTTTCAAGCGTCAGTTAAAATTGTTGATTCTGATGCTCGGGTTACTTTATCAGATCAAACGTTTAATCAAGATTCCACAGATGAATACATTACTGTACGAAAAGCTATATTTACCTTTCCACTCGATCATTTAAATAGAAATTTACATACTAATTGACATGCATCAATACTATATGTATTTAGAACAGTTCCGCAGTGTTAGTTGTCGGTAAAAGTATACGTGTAAATTCTTTCTTTTTACATTTAATTCTGAATTACATATCACTATTTACGACTTAATAAACTATTTCAATTCATCAGAAAACATTGCAAACAACTGATGATATCAGAGGTAGAGTTAATATCACTTGCATCATAAGTGCAAAAAAAATATTTGACACGCAAATAAAAGTTATAATATTGTCTTTCTCCTGTCATCTCACATTCAGCATTATATAGGTTATAGAATTTGCATGTGCTAATAGTTTTATAATATGATAATGTGTTAGAGTAAGACCACAAATTTTAACAATCAGCCGCGTGGTTATAATTAATTAAACGGGGATTAACTGTCAAATCAATGTTCTCCGAATTGGCCCTAATTCTCATATTTTATTTATAACATACTTGCTTGCTATGCGGTACGGGTTTTGCTCATTGTTGTAGAGGCTGTACGGTGATCTACAGTTGCTAGCTTCTAGTTCATTTGGTCTCTGGTAAAGAGTTAGCAATCATTTCACGTCTTCTTATTTTTATATCAAAATTTATCAAAATTACAAAAAGTCCCAAAGAAACAATTAACAATCTGAATGCATGGATTCGTTACAATGTATTAGCATTTGGTGTGTATTTTAGTCTAGACGCCATCTAATGAACTACCAAGATGGCCTCCGAAGAATGTCGATTATCAATGACCCAAAATAAACATAAATATAAATGAATTCGGATTCAAAAGGGTGAATTATTGACTTGTATGCACATAATACATTTGTGATGTTTAGAAGCTTATTGTGACAAAATTAGACCAAACTGCTTAAAACGAAATGTCATTTCAAAATTCCGCTTTGAAACAATAAAGAAATCGTATTTTAATTTTATGTGAAAATCGAAGCAAATGCCCCTTATACAGATTTGTTTATGATTAATATAATGGGACGGATATCACTGGTACAGCAGAAGCTTCCGAATTCACCTGATTTGGTTTAAAGTTGGGTTTGTTTAGTTCAATCTATAGTTTGTTATGAAATGGGTTGAAGATTGTGTTTTTTATCTATTTGTTGGAGCAAGCTTTAACATGGTTCTGTCATCGATATATATATTCATTGTGGAATAATGAATTCGCAGAAAGTGTTATTAACTCAGCATTTTTTGGTAATATCAAACAATGTTTAAACAAAAATATGTATATATAAGATCTTAAAATATTTTGCTGATTTTTTTTGTTGTTATTTTTTTATTTTTTTTTTTTTTTGTGTTTTTTTTTTTTTTTTTTTTCAGGGGGTAGGGTTGCATTTGATACAACATTTTATCGGCGATTTTAACAATGGTGTCGTATGTCTGTTTATACGGTAACCTAAAGTTGCTTACATCTACGTCATTTGGTCTTTGGTGGATAATTGTCTCAATTTTCATGGATCGACGCATCCAGTGTTGATCTTTTGGGAGTTGATTAGACTCCCTATGTTTTATGTTACTTTGATTAATATCTTCTTTATCGAATTATGATATTTAAACATCGTTATACTAATGTTGCCTCTAATTTTGTGTTTCGATTCTTAGTATAATTTCTGCATATCAGTTTAAAGATACCATAAAGAGATGCATTACGACAGCCAACTGGGTTTTATGTGGTCTTTTTTATTGCAAACAAAACACCAGCCAATGTGAATACAGGCTAATACTGCCTTATTATCTGAGGAAACACTTAGGCTCATTAGAAATGATTGTTTTTGTATTTATCATGCAATGGCGTGACATAATTAAATTGCAAATATTGAAAGTCTTAAAATTTTATGTATTCAGTCTTGCCTCATATTGTCTGAAAATAAATTATATGATACCCAGTGTTAGCCATGCTCTATTAATAAATCTTTATAACCGATGTCCTTGGAGATATAATTCTATTTCATTCTATAGAGAAATTCACAGTTCAAGGATTAGAGAGTATAATTGTTATTTATTTAACATATATAACATTTTGTATAAGCTGTAATTATTTTTTTTTTATATTCTTTCACAGTTTGGATATAATACAAAAACAAAATTTATTAAAGTCGTATTCCAACAATTGACTTGAGTTTAATTTCATCTTATAATATCTCAAAATAGATTGGTGCATACGGAATATCAACATATTTTCATCAGCTGTTGATATCGACGTTGGTTTTAAAAAATTAACTATTCTAAATGTATTTATTAATAAGTCTGTTAGAATAAAGAAATAAGGGTCGTTCAAATTGGAAAAGAAGGGACACACCAGTGGATGTCAAGGAGACAGTGATTCATTCATTAGAATAAGAAGAAACCCATTCGCCTAAAATCCGTAAATTTCTCTTTCAGATATTCTGACGAGTTTCCGTTTCATTTACCTTATTTCATTTTCATGTTCAAATATTTCGTTTCGAAGCACGAAGAGATATTTCTTAAATGGGCTTATTAGACCGCTGGTTTTCCCGTTTGAATGATTTTACACTAGTAATTTTAGGGGCCCTTTATAGGTTGCTGTTCGGTGTGAGCCAAGGCTCCGTGTTGAAGACCGTACTTTGACCTATAATGGTTTACTTTTATAAATTTTGACTTGGATGGAGAGTTGTCTCATTGGCACTCATACCACATCTTCTTATATCTATTATCTTTGGAAAAAATACCCACGTGTTTTATGAAAGATTTATCGGTGAGTTATTGTAGGCATTCTTTTACTTGGTCTAAGTATTTCTCAATACAAAATGAGATTAATTTCATTGTTTGCCTAGTCACTCCTGTCAAATTACAGGGTATATACCAACCATTCCATCTAACGTATCAGCAGCTCAGTAGTCAGCACATTTGTGTTGAATATCATTTATATGTTCATTCCTGTAAATTTACCGTTTATAAAACCCCAGAAGAAATATAATGCATTAACCGAATTCAGCACAACTTTTGGAATTTTCGGTTTTAAATGCTCGTCAACTTCGTATTTGATTAAGCCTTCCGACTGTCCGAACAATTGATGAGTTCTATGTATATGAAACGTACGTCTGTCATACCACATAATAAGTCTGGTATATTTGATGAGTTTTGACACAATTTTCGGAATCTGTGTTCTCAATGCTTTTCATCTTCGTATTTGATTTTGCCTCTCAACTGATTTGATTTGATCGCCACTGATGAGTCTAAACAAGACGAAATACGAGTCTTGCATAACATATTTTAAGCCTCAAAATGGCGTCGTTGATGGGATTTTGTTTTCAATTAATCTAGCAAATAGTAACTGAGTGATACTACAGATAATGCTTTGTATACTTCATCTTTTAAAATATCTTGAAAGAGGGACGAAAGATACCAGAGGGACAGTCAAACTCATAGATCGAAAACAAACTGACAACGCCATGGCCAAAAATAAAAAGACAAACAGACAAATAATAGTACAGATGACACAATATAGAAAACTAAAGACTAAGCAACACGAACCCCACCAAAAACTGGGGGTGATCTCAGGTGTTTCGGAAGGGTAAGCAGATCCTGCTCCACATGTGGCACCCGTCGTGTTGCTTATGTTACTTCAAATCCGGTAAATAGTTTAATTAGGTAGGGAAGGGTATTGTAGTTACGACATAAGGAACATATCCGATATCATCTGTGAAACGGTTATTCCATAACGGTCAACCAACTCGTGATGGCGTCCGTAAAATTTACGAAGGAATGATTTCAACTTCACCATTTGGAACTCTTGGTTTAATTGAAAATAGGGTTAGTTTAAGGATCCGTAAAAATATAACTTTAATTTGCTTATTTGAACGATTAAAATTACTTATATTCTGAGTGCCATTGGAAACGCAACCCTGCATGTGGTTTCCATTTATTAAAAAAGAGGCGAAAGATACCAAAGGGATATTCAAACTCGTTCTTAGTTTAGGTATATATGGCCTTTGCCAGATTTCATATAAATTTTTGGAAATTTTTCGTTTTTAATTCTCTTCAGAATCGTTATTGGATTGGGCCATTGCACTGTTTTGGTGAGTTCCATGTAGACGAAACGCTTGTCGTGTGTACTCAATTATAAACGCGGTAGCTTTGGTAACATTTTATATCATTTTGTTTATTAAAATGACCTCATTACAACATTAATATGGTATTCCTATGATATATTTGGCATGCTATCGATGTAATACAAAACATGTAAATTTTAATATGAAGCAAATCTTTGCTAAATGAATAAAAATTGTAAATGTGATTCGGTTAATAAGCAATCAAAAGCTAATGAAATAAAAGTTCAAATAACAAGTACATTGTTTAATGAAAATCAATGATATTATACACCTTGATTAATCCTTTATGCAAATTTGATGACTTTACGTAGGTGCAAAATACGATGAAAGCAAGTTTGTGTTTGCATTCTACACTAAATCGTCTTTACGTATTGCTTGAATAAATTAACCAACATGAATTTTGCAAGCATGATGTTTTATGACTATTATTATATCAGGTAAAATCTTACAATTGTTGAATTGTTTTAATTTTAGAACTATATATGTTTTTCTTCGTGACATATGTTATGCCATTGCATCGATCATGCAGTCTGTCTGTTAATATAACATAGAATAAGAGTCCTTTGGTCGGGTATGTTACTAGGGTGTTAAGTTTAACAAACGAAACAAATAGCAGATGCCATAAATTAAGTTACTGCGGTTTCAATCAATTTTTGTAGTCATTTTTGTATTCACAATTTTTAAAAGATGTGTTAACATATTTGCCACGGTTGGATGGCGTAAAGAGGGGAAGAAAGAGCATAGACTGATTCAACATATTTTGTATATACCATTCAGGGATTTTCCAGAGCTATTACAACATACAACAGTCCAATAAATGATTGAAACCAATATAGGATCAGCCAGTATAAACATTGATCAGTTTTGATTGAGCTAATGCTATGATGTGAAGTTAAATTACGAATTGTGGTGCATTTTGGAGTGTGTTAAATTAGTCCATAAAATTGTAAAAATGCGTATAAGGAGACAACTATTTGATTTTATGAGTAGGAAACCTGTACGTTTTGCCGGACATAATTATACAATCGTGTTCTAAACAATTTTATTACTTTTTTAGAACTTCGCAGAAAATTGTACAAAAATATACTGTAAATTATCTTTTCGAATAAAAATGAACAATTATTAGAATGTAACGATCACATGTGTACCATGGAAAGGTTGAAATCGGTTCAAGTGTCAAAAAGAGGGGCATGGTAATCATTCAGCAACGATTTGTTGATGTAGTTGACTATGACTGTTACTAACTGTACTATTAGCTCTGTATTCAATAATTCCACCACCACTTCTTTTGATTCTACATTTAACCAAATTTTTATGAAAAACAGACTTTCTTCCCGGTCCTGTTTGCAGCCTTGTAACATACGACATTTAGGAATACAAGTTATGGTCAGTTTGACAAAGAGTGGATGACTCTGTCTAAATGATTTATAAGGTTATTTGCACTGAGACCAGTTAATTATTATCGATTATGTAAACAAGAAAATTTGTAAACAGAAATTCCACATGAACAAACGAATTGTATGGTAAGATGGTTCAAGCAGGATCTTAATTAAAACTCTCAGTAATAGGTCTAATTATAGCATAGTTTTAACTGTTTAAGAACAATTTTATTTCTTTTGAAACCATACATTGTTTTCTTTTGCTATGTAATCAGATAAAAGAAGGATTAGTTTTAATTTATCAGAAATATGTCTACTGCAATATGATTCTAGGTATTTTTAAGAGCGTGTTTTTAACTAACTCTACTACCTACAGAAGAATCTCAAATACAAACGGTCATTCTTTTTATCTATGTAAAGAAACGAAACCCAAAAGGTCTAACAAACTACTATATTTGTCTTACATTGTTCAACTTTATCAGTATTTGTTTAACTCAAACTTTGTGTTAATAACAGTAACGGTTCCAATTTTACTGCCTCAGATGCAGACAAATGATGTCTCATCGGTGATGCTAGGAGCCAAAATATTTGAAAATCATAAAAAATTCAAAAATTGAAGAGCTAATAAAACTAAAAGAGACAAAAAGTTTAGACAAAGCCGGGTAAGGAATCAGAGCTTTGCATGAGGGAGACATATTCCTTAATTTAAAACACCTTCGAAAATTTTTTATCAGCAAATTTCTATAACAAAATATCCGTTTTTTCATACCAGTGCCGAAGTATTGGTTATTTGTCTGGTGATACCCTCGGACACTTACAGTCCACTAGTAGAGGTAGGCGGTTATGAAGCCTTTTTCTCAATTCCTCCGCCCATATATCGTAAACATGGATATGTATGATGGTTCGTTTCCAAGGTCAGAAACTTTCACATATGAGGTTAAATTTTCGGGGTACGAAGTGAGATTTATTTTTCCGTAATTGAGCATACCCCAAAAAGCCTTTTGTGTTGCGGCTTCTTGGGGTAAAATATTCCTTTTTTCACACAATAAGTTCTTTGAAAATGTTGTTTTTTGCATACATTTAACAACTCTCTAGTTTTTACACCTTTATTATATGGTCCTCTGCTCTTTAAATCAGCACACAAAATAAGCTCAGTCACTTGTTAATTGAAACATATCCACTATCACTGCACAGATATTTTTTGTTTACGTACATTTTCTAGTTCCTCAATTTGACGCGCAATATGGATATTGACCCAGTTCTAAGAAAAGACTTGACACATTTAAACTAAATCATGCACAAACCATACTAGGCTTGCGAACTAATACTAAAGATACATTGTGGTTAATAACATTAACGGTACCAATTTTTCTGCATCGGATGCACATTTCGGCAAAAAATGTTTATTTTTCTTTTAACAATATAGCTGATTTTATTGATAAAATATTTAAATAATAAATTTTTAGCGTTAATCGTCGTTTCGTGTTTTAAAATAATACAAGCTTCAGATTTCAAATTCCACATGCAGACAAAGTTGCAATTAGATGGATAAGGGAGTAGGTTCAGGGAGTGTCAACATTGGTTGGAAAATTTCCTTGACTTTATGCCTCGTTCACACGTACATTTAATTCGAATTGAATTCGAATCGAGTTCGCTAA